GGTGACACCCCTCATGAAAAGTCATCATTAGATGAGAGGGACGTAACCAATTACTGCCTACTATCTAATCTTCCATTTATTATTTATCTATTTTACGTATTTCTATCTCGCCCATCCCACGAGTGGGTTCAGGGCAGGTCACATCATCTTTCAACAATTACAATAAAGTTTAAAAGCATAATATAAGCATTTAAAATCAGTAGTTATAGCTACTGGTGAAAGTTCTGACCTATTAATACAGGTGGATATGGCCGGCTGATGATGGATGGATGGCCAGCAGGTGGGAGACAGCAACCTCGGGGAGGCCATATGTGGATGTCTGCTGCCTCAACCAAAAGCCTGGCGGAACAGCTCCGTCTTGCAGGCCCTGAGAAACTGAGTAAGATCCCGCAGGGCCCTTATCTCGATGGGGAGCATGTTCCACCAGGTGGGGGACAGGGCAGAGAAGGCCCAGGCTACACAGACATCCTTTGGGCCAGGGACCACCAGGAGATGTTGATTATTAGAACATAAAACTCTTTGAGGCGTATATGGGAAGAGGCGGCCCCTTAGGTATGTTGGTCCCAGGCCATATAAAAGCTTTGAAGGTTATTACCAATACCTTGAAGCGGATCTGGTACTCAACTGGTAACCAGTTCAGCTGGCAAAGCAAATGCTGAACATGAGCCCGCACAGGCGTCAACATCAGCAAGTATGCCGCCACATTTTGTACCAGCTGTAATTTCCAGATCAGCCTCAGGGGTAAGCCTGTGTAGAGCGAATTGCAGTAATCAAGCCTGTAAGTGACCATTGTTTGGATCCCCGTAGCTAGGTCTTGGGGGGAGAGATAGGGCTTCAGTAGCCTGATCTGCCTGAGATGGAAGAATGCAGATCTGGCAGCTGCAGCAACCTGGGCCTCCATGGACAAAGAGGCATTGAGTGTTACTCCCAGGCTCCTCACTGTCTGGGCTGGCACCAAAGGTGCCCCTTCCAGTGTGGGGAGCCTGGTGCCCACATCCATGCCCCCTTGACACAGGTACAGGACCACTGTCTTTGATTGATTTAACTTCAATTGACTCTGCCACAACCATCCAGCCACAACTTCCAATGCCTCATCCAGCGTTCTGGGAACAGAAGATGGATGGCCATCCATTAACAGATAGAGTTGGGTGCCGTCAGCGTATTGGTGACAACCCAGCCCATAACTCCGGACTAACTGGGTGAGGGGGCGTATATAGATGTTAAACAACATTGGCGAGAGGATTGCCCCCTGCGGCACTCCACATTCTAGTGGATACTGTGGGGAGACCCTCTCGCCACCCTCTGTCCCCAACCATGGAGAAAGGAGGAAAACCATTTCAAGGCAGTCCCCTGAACCAGTGTTCCCTCTAAGCTGAGTTAGTGTGAGCTAGCTCACAGTTTTTTAGTCTCCGGCTCACATATTTTTGTCTTAGCTTAGGAAGGATGGCTCCAGAGCAAATTAATTTATGCAATAGCCAAATTGCTCACTCACAATTTTAAGGCCAGTAGCTCACAAAGTAGAATTTTTGCTCACAAGACACCACAGCTTAGAGGGAGCATTGCCCTGAACTACATCGGCAAGGCGGTGTGTCATAAGATTGTAGTCGACCATGTCAAAACGCTGCCATTAGGTCCAATAACAACAGCAGTGCTGACCTGCCTCCGTCCAGATGTCTACAGAGGTCATCTGTGAGGGCGACCAGAGCCATCTCCATCCCATAGCCAAGGCAGAAGCCAGACTGGAAGGAGTCAAGCCAGACTGGAAGCGTCATCCAGGAAAGCCTGGAGGGGATTGTAACTGAAGGGGGAAAGTGATCTGGAGGAAAGTGATTGAGCAAGCAGTGGCTGAACAGCTCCAGAAATTCTTGGATGAGACATCCTTAGATCCCTTCTAATCCAAAACCAAGACAGTTCTAGTTGCTCTGGCTGACAATCTCTGGTTACAACTTGATGCAGGCAGGATGGCAGTACTGATCCTATTGGTCCTGTCAGCTGCTTTTGGTACAGTAGACCATTTGGTCCTGGTCAACCACCTAGCCTCCCTGGGTGCGAAGCTTCCCTTGAGCTGGTTCTCCTCATTCCGCCAGGGTCGGTCCCAGATGGTAATGGTAGGTGGAAAGACACTGTCACCACAGACCCTAACCTGTGGAGTTCTGCAGGGGTTGATTCTCTCCCCAATGTTATTTAAGATCTATATGTGCCCTCGGGTGGAGATCGTCAGTAGGTTTGGAGTGGGGTGCCATCAATATGCAGATGACACCCAGCTCTACCTCTTATTTAAGGAACAACCGGTAGCTGAAATTCCAGTCTTGTCCTCCTGCCTAGATTCAATGGTGGAATTGCTAGGTGAGAGTTGGTTGAAGCTAAACCCATCTAAGACAGATATTATGCGGGGTGGCCACTTCTACTGACCCTTGATGGTGTCCGACTTACTATAGTCAACTCTGTGAGGAATTTGGGAGCATGGCTTGATTCTTTGCTCTCCAAGAAAAACATGTGTCCTCGGTGACAAAGACTGCATTTTGCCATCTATGCTGGGCCTGCCAGCTGGCTCCCTATGTTTCGGGAGGAACTTGCCACAGTAATTTATGCAACAATCACTTCAAGACTGGACTACTGTAATACGCTCTACACAAGGCTACCTTTGAAGACACTTTGGAAACTGCAAGTGGTCCAGAACACAGCTGCCAGATTGCTGATAGGAGTGTCTCGGTTGGCATATATAACACCTATGCCACAGAAGCTGCACTGGCTCCCAATTCGTTTCTGGTGCCAATTCAAAGTGTTGGTACTTACCTTTAAAGCCCTAAACAGCCAGGATCCTCATACCTTTGGGACCACCTCTCCCAGCATGATCCTCCCGGTCTTCCCCAATCTTCATCTCAGCATTTATTGAAGGTCCCTCATCCATGAACTGTCCAGGTCAACAAGGGTGAGGGCCTTTTCAGTAGTGCCCTCCATCCTGTGGAACCAGCTGTCTGAAGAGGTGTGTGCCTTATGGGATCTCTCTGGGTTCTTAAGGGCATGCAAGGCTGTTCTTTTTTGGGTGGCCTTTGGGTGATTTTGATCCACCAGGCAGCTGGTATACTTCAGCTGTGTGTTCATCATCCACGAATCCTACCCTGCTTGATAATGGATAGATTTCAATGGGGCCAGATTTTTAATAATTTTATATTTTTAAAGTTTATTATATTTTTGTATTCTTTTTACCAGGTTTATTTTATATGTTGTTGCCTGCCCCAAATCCCATCCAGGGGACAGGGAGGAGGATATAAATTTGAATAATAATAATAGTAATAATGCATTGTATTACACTGTACAATATCTTACACATTGCACACAAGGCAGGAGTCTTAAAGGGAACCCTTTAAATGGTGTTTTTCAAGCAGGGGCTGCCTGCACCTTAAGTCCAAGCAGCAAAAATCACCACTTGGATTTCAGGCAAGGCATGAGGCCTCCCCTCTCCCTCCCCTGCTGCCCCACAAAATTTCCCCATATCCCACCAGCCCAAAATTTCTGGCTATAGGGCTGTAAAGAATCTAAATATCCATTCCAGGTGTAGTAGAGCTCTTTCTTCCATTCAGTGTTGGAGTAAGAATTTTTGAATGACATGTTTGAGAGGGAACTTTTTAAAATCAGAGATTTCTGTGAACAGGGGATTTCTTGTAGGCGAGGTTTATGAGGAAGAAAGGATTTCCCCCTACTCCGAAATCAATGCATTTTGCTTTTCTGTCTTCAGCTGACAACAAGAACCTTTTCTTTATCACTATTCAGAATTCCCCCGTCTCTTCCAATGATCAGGCTGCAGGAATGAAAGGAAATGGGTGGGATTTTAATCACCCCTCAGATCAAGAGGTTGCAGATACAGGACAGGAACCTTCATGAGTATGCATTTTCGAAGTGAGAAAATACCTACAGATAAACCTGCCGAGCATGTTCTGTAATCCCAAATGCATATAGGGTGGAGAAGGGGTTCTCAAATTCGGAAAGGCACCCTCTTATTTCACAGAGTTCCACCAGGTTCCATGTTTTCTAAGAATTCCTATTGGTGTTAACCCGATTTGCATCCAAGTAAGTAAGGTAACAGCGTTCCGTGGGACTTGGTGTTTAGTCATGCCAGCCACATGACCACGGAAACGTCTTCGGACAGCGCTGGCTCTTCGGCTTTGAAACGGAGATGAGCACCGCAACCCTAGAGTCGGATTCGACTGGCTTTCGAGCAAGGGAACCTTTACCTTAAGTAAGCAAGACTCGGCGGGAAAACCTAAATATGTATTTTACGCATGGAGCTGACTCCTTAATAAGTATGTTGACGAGTGCGTCGTAAATCTTTCGCCCCAGAACGACTCCTCGTGTCCCAACGTCTTCGGCTGCACCTCCGTGTACAGGGGCGGGCTACAAGAATCTCTTTCCTTTCATTCCCTTCCCGCTCTTGATCCGCCTGAGAACGTCCCTCTGTTGGGTTCAGTTCTTTCACTCCCGGAGCTGGGCGGGAGCGTGCGGAGGGCAGAACGGCGCTCGCCCATTCTTTCCAGGCTCAGCGTTCCGCTCCCGACTTGGAGCCACTTTGTTCCCTGTTGGGATCCTCGAGAAAAAGGAAGGAGGCGGGATCTGCTGGCCGGCGGGGCGCACCGGGCTCTGTGGGGCGTGACTAGGCGGCTAGGTGCAGCCGGGCTTTCCTCGCAAGAGCTACTCGCGGATGGCTGTCCTCAGCCCGGCTAAGGCAGCGAGGGCACTCCCCGTGCAGAGCTGTCGGAGGACAGGCAACTACTGCGGTCACCGGCACGCGAGGAGCGCCTCCACCGCCGCTTGCCCGCCTCCCTTTTAAAGGGGAAGAGGGCCGGCCGGCCTCTCCGCGGCACCTGGGGGAGGAGGACGGGGGCAGGGAAAGTTTGTGGTTGGCCGCGCGGCCGGCCTGAGGAGGGGGACGGCGGCGGCAGAGAAGAGGCGGAGGCGGGCGGCTCCCGCCCTCCCTCCAAGCGCCGGCGGGGAGCGAGCGAGCGAGGGCTGGCGCTGGTCTTGTTCACGCTCCGGCTGCTTTTGCCCCTCCCCCTGTCGGAGGCTCCGCTCGGCTGAGGCGCTGGTTGACTCGGGGGCTCTCTTTCGCCGCGCTTCTCGCCCGGCCGCCGTTCTGGACACAGCGGCATGGGGCACCGCGGGCAGAGCGCGCCCTTTCTGCCCCTCCTGCTCTTCTTCTTGGGACTATCTGGTGAGTCTTGTGGGTGGGGGGGAGGGGGCAAATGGACTGAAGGCGGGGCGATGGGGCGAGAGGCATGCGGAGGGATCGAGGACGAAGCCCCCTAGCGGCGGGGCCCTTGAGTCGACTCGGGGATTAGCGAGTCGTCCTTGGAAATGCTTGTTTGCTTCCACCCTCCCGGCGCATATGGCTGTTGTGTGTAACCACTGGGAGTTGTGTAGCGCTTGTCTTCTGAAAACAAAGAGGATCCAAGGTTCCCCCTAGAGCTGTGTTCTCTGCCCTGCCTTGCTCTTTCATCTCGAAGGTAGCCTGGAAGTGATAGAGTAGCATTCCGTTTATGCTCAGAGGCTTTTAATCCAGCCCTCTGAATCAGTTAATGTGCGTCGTGATGATTTCCCAAATGGAGAGGTCAGACCTTTAACCTCGAGTTAATGGGGAACAATCACCCCCCTCTTCTATATTTAAATTCATTAAACGATGCTTTAAATCTTCGGTTTCTAAGGATGTACGGGAAGTGTGTGGTCGGTGGGTGGTGGAATCCATCTTTTTAGCCCTCTTTAATCTTTTAGCTGTATTAGAGACAACTAGTAGTCAGGAGGTCTCTGGATCTTTCTTCCCAGTTATGTTTGCTGTCAGGGAAAGAAGCAGGTTCATAATGAGTAGAAGGGGTATGGGAAGACTGGCTTATTTAAGGTGTTAGTACATTACCTTTATTGTGAACTTTTCAGGCTATTTTCTAGTACTTGCTTGCTTTGAATACAAAACCTTCATTTGTTGTTTGTGGACTACAGTGCCTTGATCAAACCGTCCTTAGTTTCTGCTAGTGTCTTTTATTGAGTTGGTTGCTTTTGGAAGCTGCTCTGGTAAAGTCTCCAGCAGTTGTTTTCACTTTATAGTTTGTCCCCCCCCCCCATGGTATCTAGATTAAAGGCATCTTAAATTTCTGCAAGGTAACTCTTGAGTACTAAAGAGATGTCAAAACACGGGATTGAAATTAGCAGTGCATGTAGCTTGGTGGTACACTGGCATTCAGAGATGCTCTGGCACTAATTTTAGCTTTGTTAATTTGAGTTCTGAGTATACCATACTAATTAATGCATGGCACATCTATAATTGCTAAAAGTTTTAACAGCTGTATCAGTGTTGGTTCCGGTGCTAGACAAGACAAGGTGTGTTCCCAACCTGAGCTTTGGCCTTTTTTAGACCCTAGGATGCTCTTGTAATAACACATTTTAAAATAAGATATGTGCGTAAAAGTGTCAATATCTAGAAAACATAATAGGTAGGAGGGTTTTTAAAAAATAATATGATTTTTTTTACTTCAAAGATCTTGAATTTAATCAGGTGTAAATATCAGATGTAAAGCATATTTGAGGTGTTTTTTTAAAAAAAACCCATCAGTCTTCACAGGATTTAGAAGAACTTTATTGGCTTCAGCTGAAAGTATAGCAATTTCATGCTTTTTTTAAAAAAATATGTTTTATTAATTTTTATACAACAATAACAGCTTACAATTGGCAATATAAATACAAGATTATATTCCATACAAACACTAACATAACCAACCATAAACTTTGGGGAAGTAGTTATTACATTTATGCTTAATGATCTGCTAGGTATTCTAAAGTAAGTCTTATAAACATATCTAAAGTAACCAACTGGTCTTCAAAAAATTAAAGTATTGGTAATTGTTAAAATAAGTTTTTTCCCCAAGGATCTCTTCCATGCTTTGAGGCAGATAATGGAAGGACTCCTAAGTATTGTCATAGGTATCTAAGAGCATTGCTGGAGTACTTTGATTTTCCATCAGTATAATGTAATGGCATATTTTGAACACTTGGAAGTGCAATAAAAATATTAATTCTTCTTTATTGATTTATTTCTGAAGTACTAGCTCTTTCCATATCTTGTGTGCTGGATATTCTACATTTAATCACCTGTACCTTCTTCGAAGATACAGTAGGTTTTAAAATAGTTCTGTAATATAATATTTAGTGGAGCAAGTTTTAATGTTTGTTAAGCACAAAAATAATAGTTCTTTCTTTCAGAGAACACAGACTCTGAAAAATGTGTTAGTTTAAACCCATGACTGTTTCAGTTGTGTATAAAGTGAGAGGGCAGGAATACTGAACCACCACTTTTTT